TCTTTGATTCCAAAACAAAAACAAGAAAGAAACGCCAATCTTTCTTTCTTTCTAAACTGCAAAAAGAAAAAATGGGTATTGAAGAAGATAATGCAAGTGTGGAGATATCAGAGCATTTGCTTCTTGAATGTGAGGAGCTCAGCAGCAGCAGGGAAGCTGAGTTAGAAAGAATCCCAGAATGGAAAGATCAGATTACTATGAGAGGTTTGGTGGTGAGTGCTGTGTTGGGTACACTCTTCTGTATCATCACCCACAAGCTCAATCTGACGGTCGGAATCATCCCTTCCCTCAATGTCGCCGCAGGCTTGCTAGGGTTCTTCTTTGTCAAGTCATGGACTGGGCTTTTGTCCAAATTTGGGGTTTCGATTCAACCATTCACAAGACAAGAGAACACTGTCATACAGACCTGTGTGGTTGCTTGCTATGGCCTTGCCTTCAGTGGTAATGTCTTTGCTCTTGCTCTTGCTCTTGTTTTGGGTTTCTATTATATGTTTGTTCTTCTAACTCACCCGTTTCGTTTTCTTGTTCCAATTTTTGTCTGGTTCTTTTGGTTTCATATACCACAATAATATCAAATTGTATCTTAATAGTTTGGTAATGATAATCAATTCAGGATAAACGAATCATTTCTGATTAGTTAATTGACACTACTTGGTATTCACAAAAATCTGTATGTGAGGATTTGAAACACAGCATTTACTGAGTTATCTCCCTCTAAGAGTCATGTGTTGGGTTTCTATCATTATCCTTTACTTGTAGGTTTTATGAGCATTATTTGCAAGATTTTTTTTTTTAGTACTTTAGCCATCTTTTTTGCTCATTATTTTTCTTGAGTTTGGTGTAATCATAAATTTTATTTTTTGACAGGTGGATTTGGTTCATATTTGATTGCAATGGATGATAGAACTTACAAACTGATTCGTGAGGATTACCCTGGCAATCGGGCTGAGGATGTAAAGAACCCTGGCTTGGGGTGGATGATTGGTTTTCTATTTGTTGTCAGTTTTCTTGGACTTTTTAGTCTTGTTCCACTTCGGGAGGTATGTATTGACATTCTTCAATTGTTATTACAAAATGAGAAAGGAAGAAAAAATGGTATACTAGTGATCTATGTTGGCTGTTTTTTATGTTAACAGAGGCTATAATCACCGTATTAGCTGTAACAGTCCGTAAAAGACAATACGTCTGCATTTTTTTCCTTAAAGTCGTTTTAATGTGTCACGACCCAAACCCGCCCCTATGGGTTTAGCATCATAACCGGCCAGTAATCCGTGATTACCGAAAGCCTGCTTATCAGTAATAATAGTAATACAGAGTACAGGGACTGACGGAAGCCAAAACAGTAATAAAAGATGTCCAATGAGCTGTGACAGTCTGTATGCAAAAAAAAGACTTTTCATACATATTCACATTCAGAACCAAAACAGTATATACATACATATACAATCATCCAGGACAGGGACCTAATTCCTATTAGAACAGTACAGGTACAATCAGTCTATACAAAAACAGAGACAGAAATGATGAATCTAAAACACTCCAAAAGCCCTAGCTTGAAGGACTTGAAACCTCTCAGTGAGGCACAGTGGTTAGCTTGATAAAAAGGGAGTTAAACCCAACGCTCCTAGCTTCGATCCGGTGCCTGGACACCTATATATATATATAAACAATGAGCTAAAGCCCAGTGAATAACATATGCGTAAAGATGTTAAGAATGAATGTCCTTTCAGTATTTAAAACAGTCAGTTATAACAGTATATCAGTCATTCAGTCATAGCAGTCATTTGTGGTACATCCTATAGCAAAACAGTACAGTAGATCTTAACAGACCGAATAGTCAGTTGATGGCCATCGTATCAGTAAACAGTAGTGGTTCCAACATAGGAACTGACAGAGATCTCTGTAACAGTAGCAATAACAGTAAATTGCTATGGATGCCACGAATACAGTTCGCAAATAGGACAAACATTGATTCAGTAAGAAATATCATTTCAGAAAGCAGTACAGTTGGTCATTCAGAATATATTCATGATTGAATATATCTTTACAACATTCTTACTCACAGAGTTCTAGGTTACAGATAGGCTAGTGAGCGTCCTCGGATGCCAACCTTACACAGTTACAGAATGAACACACACTAAGTTGCACGTTTGGGAAACAATAACTTAGTCCCTATCTTTTTTGACTCGGTGTGGTTCTATAACATTATCCTCATTAAGATGCCTTAAAATAGGCCTAGAAATGCCTAGGATGGAATGAGGATGCAAAGATGCACTTTAAAACACTTTTCAAATTTTTGCTGAAATAGGGGTCCTGCTCGAGCATGTCTTTCTCCGCTCGAGCGGACATGCAGACAAAAGAGCTACGCTCGAGCGTGACTTTCCTCGCTCGAGCGGACTGCAAAAGTACTGGATGCAAGAAATTCACACTCAACGGGCGCTCGACCCCCGCTCGAGTGTGAGACACAAGTCCTCGCTCGAGCGTGCATTCCCTCGCTCGAGCGGACTGTAAACACATGCAAAGTACTAGATACACGCATTTCACGCTCGAGCGTTACTTTCTTCGCTCGAGCGGACTGCATGAACTCAGAGTGTACGCTTGAGCGTGGATCCAAAATCTGGAATTTCCAGATTTGTCTCCAAGCATGAAACTCAACATTTAAAGCATCAAATTCGATCCTTTGGGCTAATTTTCTGGAAAACACTTTAAAACTCATAATATGACATGTTTCAAAGATCAATTTGCAAAATCAAAGTCCAAAAGTTGTTCAATTAAACACAATTTCAAATAAACTTCAAGAACATGATGTACATGCAACATGCAAGTGTTCAATTGAAATCAAAGCTTCCAATACATAATCAAATGAGTCAAAACTTCCAAAAACATGATGAATTCATGAACTATAGTCAAGATATGGACATGCATGTAGCAATTTCCATGCAAACAATCTCAAAATGCTAGAACATGTACATGCATGCATGAATTAAGCCTTAATTCAACATATTAGAACCAATTCTAGACTTAGATCACCAAAGACTCATTAACCATGCAAGGTACAACTATAATTCACAATCAAGAAGATGAATATCCTACCTTATGTCTTGAATTCAAGGTATACAAGCTCAATTTGCCAATTCACTTTCAATTCTTCCAATTCAAGCAAGAATTCCTAGTTGAAACCAATTTCTCTCTTTCTTCCTCTCACACGGTTTAGGCTCAAGAAAAGGGCTGAAGAAATGTTGTGTCTAAGTGTGTAGTTCAAGCCTCAAGATGTTAATAAAAGTGGCCCACTAGATGGCATTTTGGTAATTAATGTAACTAATGTAATTCAACATTATTTAATCTAATTTAATCATTGCAAATCAATTTCAAATTAAATCTACCATAAAATCACATAAATTCTAATTAACACAAAATATCAATCAATTTCAGATTCGGCCGCCGATAAGGCCTTCAATTTATAGTTCAAACTTAAAACATGAATAGATCAATTAACAGTCAAACAGATAGAAATGCGTTTAAACTAATACACTCAATCAATCAGTTCAGAATGTCAGTCAAATCAGTTACTTAATCATGTTCAGTCACAGTTTAGCAGTAATTAGTGGTATTATCAGTAAGCAGTGGTGAGGGTTGTCACATAATGCCCTGTAATTTGTATTTGTATCTGTGTTGTATTTGTATCGAGCCTCCAAAAACCCATTGCACAGTGGCTGCTGATTCATTATGTAACAGCCATTATTTAAAGCCCTAGACTCAGTTTTGGACTTAAATATTTTATATGTACTTTATTTTTAATGGAAACTGATTAACTTGCTGGGTTTTCCACTTATATTTTGATGTAATTACTTCGAATAATTATTTGGTATATTTCCGATCTTTTGGTATATTTCTACTTATCCTGTTATTTACAAAATGGTTGTCATTATTGTTCACACTTATCTGTTGTTTTGTTTTCAGGTTATGGTCATGGATTATAAGCTTACATACCCCAGTGGAACAGCCACAGCAATGTTTGATAAACAGCTTCCAAGCTTGCAGGGTAAGCAATGGATGATATATGAGGTGTTTCATGGTTTTGTGCATCTTTCTGTAATTTGTTGAGCTGCACGATGTTTGGGAATGCAACGTAATTTTTTTGAGGAAGAAAGAGAAAATAAATCAAGAAGAATGTATAAAGATTAAGATTGTGTTTTTTTGAAAAAATTTATTACTATGCTCATGTACAGCTTGAAAATTAGGTGTCTGCAATAATTTTCGGATATTAGTTTGGTCCTTTTGTTTTATCCCATTTAGTGCTACAATTACAACAACAACAACAACAACAAAAAATTACCTTGAATTGTGAGTATTTTGTTGGGGATGTCATGAAATTGATGATCATTGTAGCATCTTTTTTAAATTCATTGTTAATTGACTTAACTCAAGAATTATTTGAGCATTTTCCATATATTTCCCTTTTCTTTTCAAACCATTTTGTCATGGGACTGTTGCTTACTTTCCAATTAAATCTAATTTCTATGAATTTATTTATTTATTTTTTTAAACAGGAAACAAGTCAGATGTCTTGGGAAGTACTTGAGCTTAAGTTTATGCTGGAGCTGCTTTAAATGGTTCTTCAGTGGTATTGGAGATTCTTGTGGATTTGATAATTTTCCTACCCTTGGATTGACTCTATTCAAGAACACGTAAGGTTCTTTTGCTTTCATTTGTTTTTCTTTAATTGATGCCAACGGAGAAGAAGGCTCAGCTCTATTGAGTGCGGTATATGGAGGGAGTGAAATAGGAGATCTTTTGAGGGGGTGGATGCAGTGGTGTATCCAACTCATCAAATATCTAATTAAAGAATAAGCAGACTTAGCAAAAACGGATTAAAAAATTAGGTATGAGAATCTTGTGATCACCGTTCTTGCCTAGAGAATCTTGTGATGACTATAGCAGGTGTTTGGCCTGTTTGATAAAAAAAATTGTACTTCAGCTTAAGATAGCTAGCTTAAAAAATGCATCTGAAACCCAACTTTAAAAAAGTTAGCCTTTGGAGTTTATTTTGAGTTGTTAGGCTAAAAAAGGCAAATAAGATGAAAATCTAAAAAGTAGAACCAAACACCCTCGTTTTTATGTACAATTGTTTGAGCATGTGATTTCAAATTTTAAGCTAAATAAGCTGCAAATAAGTGGAAACAGACGGCCCTGTTAAGATTTATGTATTTTCTGCTGAGCTTATGAAGAACAAAAAAATAAAATTTGAGTGATGTGTGTTGCAAAGCTTTATAATATGCCACGTGCGTATGTATGTCTGTGTAGCATGCACACATAATCCCATTTACATGCTGCTGCTTCATAATCCCATAATTGCAGGTTTTATTCTGACTTTGGTCCAACTTATGTCGGATGTGGTCTTATCTGCCCTCACAGTCAACTGTTCAGTTCTTCTTGGTGCAATCATATCATGGGGCTTTCTCTGGCCCTACATATCCCAACTCGCAGGGCATTGGTATCCTGCGGATCTTGGTAGCAATGATTTCAAGGGTCTTTATGGGTGCAAGGTATGTTTACTCTTTTTTTTTTCCCTCTCCTTATAACATACACTGTGTCACTGCATTTATCTGAAGATCACAATCCTGAAGGCTTGGACAATTTACTTCTTTACACCTCAAGAATAATATGGACGGTTCAATGATGTTGCCCCTGGACCCTTGCTACCCTAAGTTTGAGTTCAATGACTTGAAACATGTAGACGTTTCCAGTTCTAGTGGTGGTGTGTTGCTAAGATCAATGGGTCACTGACAATATAACTGAATTTCTCAGAAATCATAGGAAATGTATGCCAATGAACTTGAACTTCATTTTCCCATTTGCTATTATTACTTCCATTTTTTGTGGTGTCAAACAAATCCCGTGATTGCTAGTATCTTGAAGTCTGCCTTTAGAAGTATCTTCTCTGAAGTAGAATCTTCTTGGTGGTCTTTCCAAGGGAGAGGACTTATAATAGGTCCTTTTCGGTTTTCTAAATTTCCTCAAAGATGGGAGATGCATAATTTTCTTTTGCTCTTTTCTCCTTTTCCATTCTAATGCTCTAACATGGTTTCTCCCAATCCACCATCACTCTGGCAGGTTTTCACAGCCATCTCCCTTATCCTTGGCGATGGCCTTTACAATTTGATTAAGATAATTACAATAACCATCAAGGAATTGTGCAACACCCCCAAACAGAAGAATCTTCCTGTTGTTAATGAAGTCTCAGGTGAGTAATACAAAATACTACTGATAGCATTGTATTTTACTTTTCATGTTGCTCTGTGAATTTTTTTATCACCTGTTAACCGCTTAAGTGTGCAAAAATGTCTTTCTTACTTTGCCTATATATCCGAATATTGAGGAATTAATTGTTTCAAAACATGCTTCCTCAGATACTGAGAGTTCTAAAATAATAATGGAGCAGAGAAAACGAGACGAGATATTTCTGAAAGACAGGATACCATCCTGGCTTGCGGTTTCTGGATACTTGGTCTTGGCTGCAATATCTACTGCTACAATACCAAGCATCTTCCCACCCTTGAAATGGTATTTGGTCCTTTGCTCATACGTTCTTGTGCCTGCCCTTGCCTTCTGCAACTCCTACGGAACTGGGCTCACAGACTGGAGTTTGGCTTCCACTTATGGAAAGATTGGTCTTTTTGTGATTTCTTCGTTGGTCGGACGTGATGGTGGAGTCATAGCCTGTTTGGCAGCTTGTGGGGTTATGATGTCCATTGTCTCCACTGCAGCAGATCTCATGCAAGATTTCAAGACAGGCTATCTCACTCTATCGTCAGCCAAGTCTATGTTTGTGAGCCAGTTAATTGGAACAGCCATGGGTTGTGTCCTCGCCCCGCTCACATTTTGGTTGTTTTGGACTGCTTTCGATGTTGGGTCACCTGATGGTCCGTACAAGGCACCATACGCTGTTATATTTAGGGAAATGGCCATTCTGGGAATTGAGGGCTTCTCTGAGCTTCCCAAGCATTGCTTAGCCTTATGTTGTGGATTCTTTGTGGCTGCTCTCGTTATAAACCTTCTGAGAGATGTGAGTCCGACAAAGGTTTCACAATTTATTCCCATTCCAATGGCAATGGCGGTACCATTTTATATTGGAGCTTATTTTGCAATTGATATGTTTGTTGGGACAGTGATATTGTATGTCTGGGAGCAATTGAACAGGAAAGGTGCAGAAGATTATGCAGGGGCAGTCGCTTCGGGTTTGATATGCGGTGATGGGATTTGGACTATACCATCAGCAATCCTTTCCATTTTCAGGATTAATCCACCCATCTGTATGTACTTTAGGCCTTCTGTGAGCAGGTACGCCATGTATGGCACTGTAATCCATGTATGGCACTGTAATTCTTTCTTCTTTTGAACTCATAAATGATTTGTAGGGACATGTAAATATCTCTGTTGTTGTATTATGTATATCCATTTGATTGATATCCCAAGTATGCATTTCAATCTTTCAGATGACTCCCTCTCTCACTCTCTCTCTCGATTGGGACCACGTAGTTTTCTTTCCAAATTCAGTGTGACAACAGCCTTAAATTTTACACAAGATACGTTGTCCTGGACTATGATAAATGCCAGCTAAACATTATTATGGCTAAAGTTGAAAGCTAGATTCTCCCAATCATTAGAGTATAAAAATAACAATGTGCAAATGTTGCTTTTGTAAAAGCTTGTGTGAGAGGGTTTGCTAGGGGTAGTTCTTTGAATGCTTTTATCATAAGACATCATTAAACACAATAATGTTCTCCGTTACTCTCTTTTTTGGTTAGTGAAAGCAAATTTATGTTGATTTTGTTAGTTCATCTGCTGTGAGTTGATTTGCCATCAGTGATAAGTAGGTCCCATAAAAATGTTTGGGAGCTTCACAAAAGAGGGCCTCCACGACCCCCATTGATGTATTGACCATTGATGTGTTTGATTTATTTTATTTTATTTTTATTTGACAGTAACATGAATGGTCCAGATCATTTTGAGAGTTATGGGGTTGTGTTTGGTGGGGCTTCTATCATTACTAATGTGGATTCCCCATTCATTTGCAAGTATTCTTTAGTGTCTAGTAAATCTTTGATGTTAATTTTGTTTCTTTATACAAGAAGTCTGATGTTTGACTACTCGAATTGTTTCATGTTGATTTAAGATATGGATGAAAAAAAAAAAAAAAAAAAATTCAAAATTTCAAATAATTTAATCAATTGGGCTAGTTCACTTGTGTTGTTCGGAGGTCAATCATTGACAAAGACATAATTGATTAGGTAGCGATTGATTCACTAAAATAAAATAGAATAGAAACAAATGTCCATTTCTTAGCTCATTTATAGAATTGCTACTCATTTTGGTGAATGATGATCCTATTTGTAATATAATTTTTGTCATTATTTTGGTGAACCAAAATGAGGACTGATCATTCTATTCCACTCAATTTCTTCTATATTATGAGACTTTTTCTTGTATTAATATTGTATTTGTTCGGGAATTTTTAAAATGGATTTTCAAAATTTATTGTTTAGTTTTTGGGTGTTTTTAAAACCTTCCTTATTTTTCTTTAGAAAGTTTGAAATGAGTTTGGGGACTTTGTCCTAAACATGGAACACTTAATAAAGTGTTACATGGAATATTCCTTTGAATATGGAATTGTGGGATGGATGTTGGTATGTATGCACTCACACTGCAAGGATGATGCTTTACACCATACGCACACGCGCGCGTGATGTGGACAGTGGGTTGTGTGACGTTTGATGGCACACTTTGTTGGCGATGAGTCAACCAACCGATCGAACGGTTATGTGTTCGATCTGGAGCGGTTTGATCATAGCCATTAATCAAAGATGCGTACAATCGTACGGATGAGATTTGTGTGGCGTTTGATGCCGCACTTTGTTGGCGATGAGTCAATCAACCAATCGAACGGTTATGTGTTTGATCTGGAGCTGTTTGATCATAGTCGTTAATCAGAGATGCGCGCAATCGTACGGATGAGATGGCACCCGATCGTGATCAGGTATGATTAATCAAGACATCTATTCGGTGTAAGAATGATCTGCACCAGAGATTGTCGATCCAATGGTCAGATCTGAATTGATGCAATCAAGGGATATGACTATTTGATCAGATGCATCAAGGCCTATAAATAGGCTGCGAAATCAACCATTTCAATCCATTCAAAAAAATTAGAAAGCATTCCTGGCTTTTTGGCTTTTTTGAGTTTTTTTGTGAGAGAAGAATGTAATGATTATGGGTTGGATGTGATGTTTTGTTTGTTATGGCTAAAATAGCCTATTTTGTTTTTTGTGGCTAAAATAGCCAAAAAAGCCTGCAAACCTACTTGCCAAACACAGGCTAAAGTTTTCGATTCAAGAGTTTCTTAAAAAAATTTCTGCTTTTCTTATTGGTAATCAAATTTTGCAGACTTGATTATCAATGTCTTAGTTTTCTTGATTATATTAAGAGTATTATGATCTACTGTCATCATTGTAGAGGCTTCATTGTATTCTGAAGGCGAATTTACTGTAACCTTCTGCACATCTTTTGGTAGGTGCAAATATTATTTTTAAGAAAGCGACTAAATAACGTGACTTGAAGCACCAAATTTCTATTCTGCATATATAAGATCATCGCCAAGTTTTGAAGACCCAAAAATTACCAACTGAAAAATTCAAGATGAATTGTTCCAACAGTAATTGTTGGTATTGATCAGCTTGTAAGTATGTGTTGTTAAACTTTCTTGCGTAATTGATTATTAATTGATTTATAAATAATTTTTTACTAATTGACTACACAAATTAAGGCTTGGTTTAGCGATAACTTTTCTTTGGCTTTTTTAAGATAAAGTGGTTGTTAAAAAAATAATGCATTTGATAAATGTTTAAAAATATACTTTTTGTTGTGTGAAAATTGAGTATGTCCTTAGCTCTTGTTTTTAATGAAACTTTTTTAGCCAAAAACAAATAAATTTTTTGAACTTAATTAGTCAAAAATAACTAAACAATTTAACCCAATTTTTTTTTTTTAAATAATTGAGAATTTACTAAAAATAGAGCTGCAAAAACAACCAAAAATTTGATTCTACATGGATTGCATATCAAGCACATGGGTCAGATTGTGACCACTCAATTGGAGCGTCCAATAATTTCACATAGAATCTATCACATCCGAAAAATTTCACTCAATTTTATAAATCTAAACCAATTCTTATTTAGTTGTCTAATATTACAAAGGATGCTCATAATACCATGATTTCATTTTGTTGGTTTCATTAAAACCAAAATTATATAGAGAGAAAAAATAATAAAATTGTTATCTCTTTTGCCTAGTATAATATATAATAAAAATAAATAATGTTATAATAATTATCTAGTTTTATTATATTATTTTTATCATATGATGCGTCAACCTAATCGTTAATATTGTTAAAGTGTATATATATATATATTTAATATTTAGATGGGTTAGGATGCAAAGAAAAGAAGAAAGTAATAGAAGAAACGAGAGTAATTAAGGGAAATCCACAGGACATGAAATTTAGAAAAAGTAAACAAGAGATAATATAATTAGAATTAAAAGATAGCTCATGAGATGAGAGAGATGTGACTTGAGGATAATATGGTGAGGTCCCATCTTATAGGAACTACTTTCTGGACTTTATTTGGAGCTTATAGAGTTATTGGTTCCTAATGGTGCTTGTGAATTGGGAAGTACTCCTTTTCTAGTTTGAAATACATATGAGTGTTGATTTTTGATTTCATAATCAAACATGTAACTTAGTTGGAGAGCGCGCGGCAGAATAAATTGAGCCAACCACCTGCTAATAAGAAGATGAGAATATTGCAGTGGTTTGCTCGAGGACACTCCAATGATCAAGTCAGTAATTTAATCTCTCAAAGATATCACACAAATACTCAATGCACAAATAAAAACACACCGTAAATCCATAGAATACCTCACTTTTATAATCAGTAATGCTCTAGTTCCTTAAAAGTCTGACTTCATAGGACTTAAGCACAATGCTTATCTCAGACCTTTAGCTAGATAAGGATAAACTCCTCAAGAGTCTTATTCTTATCCAAACTAAGTGTCTTCTTTTATCTAGGACTCTTATCCTCTATTCAAATATCTCAGATTTTGGTAATGCCACAATGAACCTCGGCAACGCCGCAATCACCTCGGCAAACATGACCTGCCCACGTGGCATCTCGGCCGACATCTCGAAGGCACCTTGACCATGTGGCATCATTTCTAAAATATTTCCCCACAATAGATGTTAGGGTAAATAATAGGTGAAAATGTTTTGGGGCTTGAACTTACGTGTTGAACTTGACTAAGCCTCAGAGATATGGTGTTTTTTCACTGCACTAATTACTTTCGACAATGTTACGTAACTCAAATTTTGTGACTCAAAAGTGACTCAAATGGCCAAAACGACGTCGTTTTGAGTACAGAACAACATTCAAATGGCCAAAACGATGTCGTTTTGGCCATTTGAGCCACTTTTGAGCCACAAAATTTGAGTTACGAGACATTTTCCAATTACTTTTGCTCAATAATTTAAATTCGAAGTCGGTTTGAAACTAATTGAAATGATTTTACTATAATTGATCAGCCTAGCACCAACAACACTAGTCAATTAGTGAAAACCATCTGAATCAATTTTAAGCTACTTGAATAGCAATTCTCTTTCAGTTTTCACAATTTTTTTTAGAAGTCCATGTAAGTCCATTCATCTGAACAAAAACTAACGAAAAATTATGGACTATAACTTCTTGTATATGATTGTATGCATGTAGGCTCCATGAGCATATATATATATATATATATATCTTGTATAAGTTATTAGCTCTCTCCCAACAAATTTTTTTTTTTATTTTTAAAAAAAACAAATTTACCAAGGCATTCCCTTGTCAATAAAATAAAACTATACCTTTTTCCTTTTTTGTCAAATTTTAAAAAATGGCTAATTTATCAACAAATTTTTTTATTATTATTTAAATTGGCTAGTTTGTGCAAAGTGTTCATAGTTTAATCTATCTATATTATATATATAATCAAATGTAATGGTTTTGTCAAAAATCTGTAAATATTCATACCTAAATTCTCATAATTTTAAAATTCTCTCTTTCCTACGTAGCTGTTAGCACCATAAATCTGCAATTTTTATTATTATTTATTATTTATATAATTGCAGGACACGTGGCATCCTCTTATTCATTTGGAAGTTAAAAGAAGTTATAGAGATAATGGAGAATATGAAGGACAAAGTGGATGAGTGGGAAGACAAAGTGGATGAGTGGAAGGACACATGGCAAGACAAGAATGAAGATGGAAGAAATGGGTAGTTACTAAGTAGTTATTGCTGTATTTTTTCTTCTATAAATAGCCATTAATGGCTACATTGTAAAAGATCCAGAACTTAAATCAAAGACACTTGATTTCAATATTTCTTGTCATTTTCCTTATCTTAGGAGTAG